AGCAGAGGACGGGGTATGGTGTGACCAGGAGGAAGAAGCGGCGAGAACGGAAGACCATCGACGCCTTCTATATATGCAGTTTCATAAAAAGGAAACTCGCCGGGAGTGACTTTAGGGGAGGTCGAAGGAATCTTAGTGGGCAGACGGCGTGGATGCGATGGGCGGCGAGAAACACGTCTCGGAAAGCGAGACGGGTGACGTCATGTCATAACCGAGATCTGGGCGAGCGACTCATGTCGTGTTTAGTGGTATCAGGATAGGATCCAACTTATAATAACATACCGGTCTGAGTTACGATTTGCAATGCAATACCAGTCAGGTATCGCGTGTCCTTGCATTACCAGCGTTCGCCATCCTGTTAGGCGCTTGCCTGGCAACTCATCCCTGATCTATAACCGATTTTTTTGCTGATGGTACCGAATCCTACTCAGTTGCAGTGTCCAGCTACTAGACAGCTAATTCCCAGTTGTGTCCTTTATGTCTGCGCCCGGTTGCTTACTAGCGTTAGGCTTCCGCTTCAGGACGCGATCTCAACTGTTCTCATAAACTTTGCGCCTCTCTATCCAGCCCCACAAATAAATGCTCGAATCGCCGTCGGAAGGTCGCGGTGGTTCAGACTCTGAGCAAGGCTCTCCGCCATCACTCGTTTATATGCTTCGTGCATTCGCCTAGGGCTTCCTCCATTCCCCAGCGGCGTATTTGGCCTGGCGCGGGTGTGAGGGCTGTCGGAAGCAACATTGCAGAATATGAGCTGTTAGTAACTTGCGTCGCAGGTCGGAAGCTAAGATATGCCGGACACTCCGCTCGACGTTTTATACCCAAGCGAGCCAGTGCCTTGACGAAGCCGAGGCGACAGCAGACTGTTTATTGAGAACAGAAGATTTTATGGTGTAATTTCCGGCGTCGGTAATGCTTCTGCGTTGGTTTCACTGCCTCCCGCTTCGTCTACTTCTGCGGCGCTACCCTCTTCATCCCAGGATCTGTCGTCGTCCCAACCATTCTGCAGCGTCCCACCAATGTTACCCAATCGAATCGTCGACCTTCTGAACTGTACTGTCGACTGTCCTTGTTGCCGATCAGTAATGCGCATGGAGTAGTCTGGTACGTCGGAGTTGACGATCCGTAAGTTGATCATGAAGCGATTGATGAGCACCGGAGGCTGAGTGGCTGGTTGATGAGCATAAAAAGGACAACTTAAGAGCAAATGACACACCAGAGCCGTGATTAACGCGGACACTGGTGCCAGGTCCTTAAGTACAGTGTCAGCCGTCGGCACATGCACTCATGTCAGGGACATACAGCAGAAGAGTCGAAGGTCAATAGCTGGATTATGCTTATTGCTAGTAGAGCTCTATACTCATCGCAGCCTGTGAGAAAATTCCTTCGGCGGATGGCTTTTGTCGCCACACTCACATAAAATAGGTAGTGCCTGTGTGGACAGCTAGGTCTCAGCAACGGTAACTACGACAGTGCGTAGAGAACTACTGACCGTCGCGCAGCAGACATGTCGTCAGCGACACATTGACATTGATGCCGCGAGCGCGCCACCAATTTCCAAACGTCTTGACCCAGGTCAGGGTGAGCACGGTCGTATCGGCTAGGATGAGTGAGCCGCGGGTAATGTACGCGACTGTGAGTAGATGGCATCAGTGTCTCCAGCGTGTTTAAAGGGCTTCGACCGCAAGACATACGCCTACATTGTGAGGACTTCAAGTTAACATTCCAAGACCGCAGGAGCGAGATATATGTGCCCACATATCGTATGTTCGCGCAGAGTACGGATATTCCGAGGCGCATGTCATTCCGACGATCGAATCCCCAACAGAACTAAATGTCGATTGTGTCGCTTTAAACTGCACGAAGCGTCAACAGCGCCGACCAGAGCATACATGGGGCTTAAGCGGAGGCAATACGCACCAGATTCGTCGCAAATGGTACCATGCTCAGTGCGAACACTACCAGCGACCAGACGTGGCTCCTATCCCAAACCGCGAAGACTCGCAGAGCGGAGAAAACTGACATGCTAATGTCAGTGGATATATTCAACTTGGGCAGGCTAAGTGATGCGTACGTGCGGTTTGAACAAACCCAATGAGGATGAGGATCCAGGTCAGAATTTCTAGCGGCGGACAGCTATGTGTCGGGTTCAAGTAAGCAATCTCTTGCATACAGGCTACAAAAGGACTTGACATACGTCTGTGAGAAGCATTGTGGGAAATTTCGCGCAATCAACTATGTTCGAGGCTTACATTCGGAGTGGACGGCAGAAGCTGTACAGCAATCGAGAGGAGCACACACCATCTTACCGAGCCAAGGAGCACGGCGGATGCGGTAATAGGCCTCTTCCACACGACCTTAACCTCGTTGTCGATAGTGATTAGGAACTCGTAGAAGACGAGGCCTAGAGGACAGACATTATCAGCGGCGAGACGGGAATTGAATGAAGAATGCACTGACACGCTACAGCAGCAAAGCTGTAGTTTGATACGAGGCTGGGAAACAAAGCCATGGGCATTGAATGGTGAAGTATGAACAGAGGTGGCGCTCACAACTGCCAATAGGCTTGATCAAGGGCTTGGTCCGGTTGCGCCGACATGACCAACGTGAGGAAAGTGGGGGGAGCAAGTCCGACCAAGGGCAGGCCATCGCCCGCATTCTTTTGAGCGACCTGAACGGTCGTCTATCAGCAAGAGTGCACTAGTCCGGTCACAACAAAAGAGTGAGTATTGGCAGCACCAGCTGGACAAACTGTATCACATAGATGTGCGGTGCAACGGGCTTGGCATCCGAGGATCTATGCGCAAGTGACCAGAATGCTCGGCGGGCAACATGCTGCGGTAGATACCACCGTGGCCCAAACGTGGGGAGCGAGTGCTTACCGTGACAGCGTCTTGCAAATCGGCCAGGCCACCCCGAAGTCTCTACCAGTGCAACAGTTGCTGCTCCGCCGCAGCTTCAGAATGAGATGTGGGGCGGCCGCTGAGACACCGTCGAGCGCTCGTTGGCCCCAGAGGGCCAAGGGCGAACATGAGGCAACTCATCCCGGCCTCTCGTGTCATGTTTATGGGGACCATCAAACCCAACAATGACGCCGCGGTATGACAATTACCACGTTAACTTTGCTTTGGTGTCAAACTACCCTACCTGTACCAACGGGTGTGTCTGAATCGTGGGGCAGAGAATCCTCACTAATTGCACAGTGATGAGAAGGTCGACGTAAGTATTGCGTTGGTGGGTAACACAACGATGAGCACCTTCATCGGGGTAGCGCGGTCGTGCTATGTCGCCGGGAGGCGGCGCGTCAAACTTGCCTTGGCATTTCAGCACGCTCGGTTTAGTCGGCTGTAGATCATGCTGAGTAGGCCAAGTGTCACAGACGTGATTGCGTAAGCAGCTGGATCAATCGGCGCGGAGCGCCCGCTACTGGCGTCAGATCGCGCGGGCTTGGCCATTGACCTTCTGCCTCCATTCGCAGACTGTAGCGGAACCGCACTGACGATCCATTTGCATGATCCTCTGCATGTAGTACCAACGTACTTCCAGTAATCCAACCGCGGCGGGCTTGCAAGAGACAGATCAATGCAGTGCCTCACTCCCTGTCCGGGTGTTTGAGCTAACTACGACTCTACTTATCCGCAAAGGATGCACGCACTCTCGGCAATGCCAAGGTGCGAGTCGTTAGATGTAAGCATATTTTACACACTTTGTCTTGCCATGCTGAACCTGGGCCAGCAATTCCCCAACGTCTACGACCGTCGACGTCGGCATGTCATGCGAGAGACGTCCATCGTCCCAATGTATGTCTGCCTAATGTTTGGGATCTATCGCAAATTGGTGCTTCCCCAAAAATCTGAGGCAGACATACATCTCAGTGGGCATGTGAATGGGTTCACAGGGGCGTATAAAAGGCTTCCGACCCATCTGCAACTCTTCAGCGGACTACCCGGTTAGCTTTCGCCTCTTCTACCGCCGGCTCTCTCGCAAAGCTTTACAATGCGTCTTATTACTGCAATTATCCTTGCTCTCCCTGCCTTTGCGGCCGCTGCTACCACCGACGGGGGTGGCCAGGGCGGTGTTGGAGGCTGGGGCGGTTCCGGAGGCTGGGGCGGCTCTGGAGGCTGGGGCGGCTCTGGAGGCTCTGGCGGCTCCGGAGGCTCGGGCAATACTGGAGGCCAGGGCAGTTCTGGAGGCTCTGGCAGTCCTGGAGGTTGGGGCGGTCCTGGGGGTTGGGGCGGCTCTGGAGGTTCTGGCGGTTCTGGAGGCTCGGGAAATACTGGAGGCCAGGGCAGTTCCGGAGGCTCTGGCGGTCCTGGAGGTTGGGGCG